TTTTTATTGAATAAATATATATATATATATATATATATATATATATATATATATATATAAATAAGTATAACAAGTACGATTTTGAAGTTATTCTAAACATTTATGTATAATAAGCGGCTCGTCGTAGCGTGCTTTTGCAATATAATGGAAAAAAAAAGAAAAAAAAAAGGGACATGGATTAAGAATAGTGTTGGGGAATACCAGTACTATTTGGGAACGAGGAAAGTACAAAAGGAAATGTGCGTAAGAATTGCGAAACAAAAGAAATGCAAAGAGAAAAGGAAGACTGTCAATTATCGTGAACAATGTCGTCTATTTTTATAGTTTTCATTTTCTAGTTGTTGTCGTGTTTTTTTCTTTTTTTTTTTTTTTTTTTTTTTTCCCCCCCCCCCCCGGTCCTCCCGGTCCTCCCGGTCCCCCCGTCCCCCCGACCCCCCAAATTAGAGTATCGGAATTACAGTGTCGAATGTTTACAATTTCTCCGTAACTTTTGTCCCTTCGTTAGTTTTTATATATTTTCTCGATTTTAATTTACCTTTATATCCTCGATAGCGAATATGCTTGGCTTTTTAATTTATAAAACTACAAGACTCACGTACTCTTTTCATCCAATTTATCGACAAACTTATTAATAAAATTTCAAATAAATTAAGATTAGTGAGAAAGTAAGTACTTATACATTACGCGGTTTAATGTATCTTACGTGTTCTAATCCATTATGAATTTTCAAATGGAGAGAAATTTGTATTAAATTTACAACGAGATGGTTATTGTTAATTTCGTATAATGATAAATGTCATTAGTAATGAGGATTCGTGGAAGTCCGTTGGGAAATTTTTAGTTTAAAAGATCGATGTCGATAATTAACTCTCGCACGAAGGAAAAACATATGCTCAATTGGCCAATTAACGTAATCAAATAACGTAAAATTAAAAAATCACAAACAATCAATTATTTTCTCGTATATTTTTATTCGACTATTCGGCTGAGAAAACTGAGACAAGAGAAAAATGACAACGATTGCCCATCTGTGATCATAACCAATGTCTTATCGTTGATAATTTTGCAATTGTCATTATGTCGCGGATGTAATGTTTATCTGAAAATGTCTGCGATTGATGTGAAAACAATAGGCATAACGACGTTTCAGCAGCTTGACGGTAAATTTGTCGATAAAGCTCGGCTACCCAGAACAATAATATCGTTAGGGAAGTTTGTCTTTATCTGCCCAAATGGCTCGATCAACTCAACACTTGCGACATCTTATTTCAATATTATATTCGATAATCGAACGCCAAGGTCAAGTCGAGTACACAAAATTGTTGCGAGAGACAAGCCGCTGAAAATTCGTAATTACTTACTCGAAAGTTTATGTAAATATGAGCTACCCTAAACCTATAAAGTCGCATGTAGGTAAAGTCTCACGTACGACGATGAGACTTCCTGAAGGATATTACGTTGAGCGTCATATTTATATATTTTTATTGTTTATGGGAATGAAAGGGTAACGTTGCACATGAAAATTCAGCCAAATCGATTTTCGAGAATCGTGCGCATTTATTCGAAAATTTATGATGCGTACTTGCCCCGTGCATTTACGACAGGCGTTCATCGATATAAATAAAGTACCTTAATAAAAAATAATATTTCATTTCTATTATGAACGAGTTGATGCCTTCTAAGATTTTACATTGCCTGCTAAGTGCGTTTGTTCGTGAATTTGTAAATTGTAAAACGAGCGAGGATTTTCGCTTCGAAGCTTACCGAAAAAATTTTTAAAGTATTGTGCAAGTATCGAAGACGGTAAAAAAGCATTCTAAAAGCATCGGATTATCACATTTTTTTAATGCGCACGCGTCGCTAAATAAATTGTTATAATAATCAAAATATATTCAACCGGAATTCCGTTTGTTCTAATGACGATTAAAAATAATAATACGTGTAGCCTTTTTTTTTTGTTTTTTTTTTTTTTGTTTTTTTTCGTGTTGTTTTTCTTTTGTTTTGAGAAAAAAGACAAAAATTTACGAAACGCCATTATTACGCATAGGTTATTATTGTATTAATTCAATTGCCTCGGTTAGAATTGTAATTTCTGATTTTTAATTAATTGTCTCGAAGATAATAACTTTCTCGTGGCAAATGGAGAAAACACATTGTTTACAATGCTTTCACGGTCCTCGTAACTAAAATAAATAAGGGTCCAGTTAGTAAAGCAGATTTTAATTTTATTTTATCATTAGCGCTATGTTGAATTGTATAAATAAACCGATAATGGCACTGTACATCAATTAACAGTGACTTACTTCGGGCGCGCTGGCGCACATACGTCATTTATGATACTTATTCGTTTAAAATCGCATGACCTTGAAGGAAAGCAGTTAGAGTACCGAAAGGGAATCAATTTTACATACTTGAAATACAAGGCGTAAAAGTATGGATAAGTAATGTCGGGATCGCATGCAGTTGTAATAGATTTTCACGTTGCCAGCAGAATTTTGTAATTCAATGAAGCGTCGCATTTACCGTACAATCGAAATCATGAAAATTCTAAAGGATTATTTCATTATTAATTCGGTGACCTTAACGGCACGTACACATACGGCAATACGACGGAGACAACGATTGGAAATTTTAACAAAACGAGATCGAACGTTTACGATTCATGGTAATAAAGGCGGCTTTTATCGCTTTAATCTTCGCCGCTCTTTGTGTATATTTAATGACATTCGTTTTGCGTGTCGCGTCTATATATCGTAAAATAAAATTGACAGAAGAAGAAGAAGAAGAAGAAGAAGAAGAAGAAGAACAAATGAAATACTCATAATTTCTTTTCTCAAACAAATATTTACCATCTCGCTTAACAATATTTTCTTAATTCAATAATTACGAAATTCTTAAAGGATCTCTTAAAAAAAATGCAATAGTTTGGGGCATTTAAGCGAACTTCAGATTCGTATCAAATCAAACCTGCCTCGCTCGAAGCCACATTTTATTCAAACTAATTTCAGCTTAATATTTCTCATGCTTGCCGAAGTTTTTTTTTTTCTCAAATAGTCTCTTACCAAATAATTAAAGTATTGAGATTTTATACAATTTTTTTTTTTTTTTTTTCATATAAGAATAAGAATATTTCATTTTCTTTTTCTTTTTCGTTTTATCGTTGTTTCAATGCGTCAATATTTCATTGCAATAAAAATTTGAATAATAAAAATACTGAAATGCATGTGCAAACACTTTATCTTTCGCATAGTTTCATTGTCCTCACAATGTACTTTTGCCTTTTGCCTTCCAATTATAATGCGTAAATTTAAGGATTAGCTGAAAATTATCGTCTTGACAATTTAATCGGACAAGTCGAGGCGACGATAATCAAAATAAGTCTTTTCAATCTATCATACGCACTTTGAAAGATTTAAACTTTATAGCTCCACGTTTTATTTTCCATTTCCATTTCAATTTACAGCTTATGACAATACAAACCTTACCACTTTAGTTTTCTAATTCGAAAACTTTCAACTATCGAAATAAAATACGACACACAACAAAGCCAACCCCTAATGATAATAACAACAGCAACAGCATAGAGGCTAGTGACTGACCTAGTGATATTCTAGTGAATTTCATGATAAAGCAAATAACGTTCGCCTGGGGAATGTTTTTGGATGGTGAAGCGTAACGAATCGCATTCGGCCACTTTATTAAACGGTTGGATATGCTTACTTACCACATGGATTATTCCTAACGCTACATTATCCGACTCAACTTACGAGGAAGCACGAAAGTGTATCAGCAACGCTATTTTTGACCGTCGCGATTCCATGATGATAGGACACGAAAGTCGCCAAGGAACATCGTCGGCTTTCCCATACAAGCGAAGGAGACACCGAACGGGATGCACGCGAGGTGACGCGAACGTTCGCCGAGGGCTCCCCTGACAGTCGTAACCACCTTCATCTTTCGCCCTTCACCTCGGGCGCGCTTATCTCCTGGCGTCGACCGTCGCCGTCCCTCCGTGGCCGAGTAGTGTCCTTCGTGCCCCGACCTTTCTATCGCACGGAGCCCTTCGTGTCAATTAATTCATGCGTACGGCTCGTGCATACGCCCTTGTCGCCTCCCCCACCAATCGCTTACTCCCTAGCTCCCCCCCCCCCCCCCCAGCCCCAGCCCCAGCCCCAGCCACAGCCCGATACCACGCTCCGGAGTAAGCGAGAAAGCTTGATCGAATGCCCTTACAAAGGAAGCGATGCACCGACACTTGGACGAAACTTTGTGCCCTCCTCGTACGCTGATGTAATTTTGACTTTCGCCTGCCGCACGGATAATAAGGAATTAACTCGGGAAGCTCGTTAAGTCTCTGCTTACATTAATTATCGTATGCCAAAGAATATCGGCAATTTCCCTCGGGCTGCGCTTGCCCACAACGATTATCCAGAATTTTTCTTGCCGGAGATTGTGTTTTGCGCTTGTACTTGGCAATCGTGAATGCTAATTGTAATTAGCTTTTTTTTAGCTTAGTATTTGAAAATTTCAAAAATTCATCCTGACTAGCATTTTGCGTCCTAAGAGAATGGCAAAGAATTTAAAAATTCTCGGCCACGTGATTGGCAAGAGTCTATTTGCTCGCCATTGTTGATAAACGTACAACGAAGCCACGACTATCGAACCACAAAGTCTTCGGTTGTGGCACGTTTATAAAATTAATCAATTTCCCTTTATATTTATAATAATGAATTCTCAATGTATGTTTATTGTAAATTGGTCGAGCAAAATACAATTATACATTGTTGTCTATTTTGAAAACTGGGAGCATGCTCCCGAATTAATTAATCGCACGGCCAATACGGAAATAATATTGTATGGGAAAACTGTGCATTGGCATTTTCATGAATTATTGTCACGGATTTTCTTTTTAATCGTATAATTCTCAAACATCTAATTGGCTGACATTTATTATTTTTCTATGTAAATGAAATTCAAAGCCGAACAAATTCTAACGATGAAATTATGATAGTTTTCATCGATTGCTTGGTCGCACTCTCTCTCTCTCTCTCTCTCTCTCTCTCTCTCTTCCTTCTTTATCACGCTCGCATGCCTGAAACCAATTATAGATTCATACGTTTCATTTACACGAACGTAGGCCTTGCTGTTTTATGTTGAAAATAATTGTACGAGTATTGGATCGAGGCATCGACGTTTCACTTTTGAAAAATTTAAACTGCAATTTTTACGCCGTTCTGCGATGCTTAAAAATTTGCCCTCTTAAATTTAAAGGAAAACATGTGCACTCGTGGAGGAAAGAGATGAGATTTTGAAAAACCGCGAGCTAACTCGAGTAAAATATTTTAATTTATCCTTTAATGTTGATGTTTTTAGTTGAATTTATAATGGTGAGCAGCACGAGGTACTGTTAGAAGAGAGTAAGGTATTACGAAAGAATGATGCCATGAAAAATGAAAATGTGAAAATTAGTAATAAAAAATTTTAGATAAAGAGTTTTAAAGACTATTTTGTATGAAGTAGAGGAAAAAAACTTAAAATTCTCTGCATCGAAGGGTATAATGATTTCTTTTTTGGAAGTATCGATCAATGTATTGTCCTTTACGATTAGGAATACCGTTTTTGGAAGATTTTCCGATGCTCCGAGTTCTCTGAGCATGAAAAATTTCCATTCCTCGGACATTTATCGTCTTTTACAATAAACACTCGTGGGCTAAATAATTTTCTAAAAAAATTCTTCTCATTTTGGTGTTCGTTTTGGTTTTTTGTTTTTGTTTTTGTTTTTTGTTCTTTCAATTCAGTTTTATCGTACGTAACAATGTATCGTAACGTAGAGCTTTAGTATTGAAAAAATGAAAAATAAAAAATTGCACTTAGAGTTGAAAATTAATTTGACTAAGTAGTGGTGAGACGCTTAATAAAAATTGTCGGCAAAAATTATCTAACAAATTTTTTAATATCGTATCGATTGCATTAGCTTAGTTTCATAAATAAAATGCTCAATATTGCACACACATGCGGATAAATTCTCATAAATATTATAAATTATGCACTATATTGAAATGGAACACTAAATACATAACATTATCAATTGACTTTTACCATTCAAAAGCAGTGAGTCAGTTATAATATAAGCCAGACACAGTCGACTATTGAGAAGGAAATTAATTTCGTGACCCAAATCCAATGCGATCCATGATTTCTGATCGTGGGAAAGTTCAATTTATAATTAAGACTAGCCTAGCCGCGCCAGTCGCTCGCTCGTTTGCGCACACACTCGCGCGGCCACACGGCCAAACGCACACTTGCGCATACGTGAAACGGCGGCCGCGCTCGGCGAGGAAAGGAAATGTCATTGGAATCGGTGGATTCGAAGATCGAAGCCATTTATTTTCTAACCACTCGGCCCGAAAAAAAAAAAATCAATAGCGAATAGTCATCGGGGGCGCTGAAAGTTCCCGCTCGCGCAAATCTCGAGTCCAGCCAAAGCTGGATTTCACGACCATCGTTTTTTCAGCCTGCGGAGGCGGTACGAGCTCGGGCTGTCGTCCTCGTTCCGGAGGTCCCCAGGAGCCCGGTACCGAAGATCCTTTCCACGCCAGCGTCTCGAGGATCCCCTCAACGCTAAGCGTCGCCGCGGTCGAGGCGGTCGTGGCTTGCAGGCGAGCCTCGCCCTCCCACTCCATCCTCACGCTTACGCCAGGCAGGACCAGGAACATCGACCAGGACATGGAGGCGCTCAGACTCAGCCGTCAGGACAACCCCTTCTTACAGGCGAGTCTCCTTTCGTATCATTTGAATAAGCGCCGGGGGTTTGGGCGAGATGTGTATTAGGTCGGAGCTTTTTTTTCTTTTTTCTTTTCCTTTCTGGTCGACAACGAGCCCGGCGATTCTCCTTTAATTATCGTTTACCATATCGCCAGCACTTGCCAAGGGAAGCGATCGAACGACTGAAATTTATGATGCTGAGGCTGGGCTCGTGGCACCTTTTAAGACTTGGGTGGTGAAATATTTACTAAATGTACTATACCACGCCAATACCACGTAAGTGTCACTTAACATTCCACTTTTATATAGACGGTTGAGTAAAATTCTCAAAACTCTCTCTCTCTCTCTCTCTCTCTCTCTCACGACATTATCTTCCACTGCTAGGCGTAAGGTTTGTCCCACGAATTTTCCACCAAGCATTTTCAATATACCGTTACTCGATCAAAATCAAATAAGCTTTACGATAAAATACTTGAAGCTGAAGCTACTTCCTTTCGATTGTAAGCAAAGATTTTTTTTTTTTTTTTTTTTTTTTTTTTTTTTTTTAACGAATAATGAATTAATTACCTTTACATTGACACGATATTCTCACTGTTCGACAAAGTCGTCTTCGACCTGGAAAAGACGTTCGACTATCAAAACTATTTTGCTCAAGAGTGTCGTGATAATTTACGATAAAAATAATGATAATACTGCAGTTGCCAGGTGTCGTTTACTTTCTAATTTAACAAATTGCTTAGCGGCAAGAGAATCCATCGAAGCTGCATTATGGACTTTAATAATAAAGCGAAACTATTCGTTACGACTAAGCAGTGGTATTGCATTTAAAATTCTGAGATCGTTAGGTGAAAATGTGGATGTAGTTAAAGATATTTCCATCACTTAAGATATTATCACGTATTTATATATTTCGTGAAATTTGAAAAATGCAAAAGGATGCTAAGCCTACGCGCGGTTATTGTTTTTGACTTATTCCGTTCGAATCTTAAGTTCTCGATCACGTCGAATGAAGTTTGATATATTTTAAAACCAATAATATATATATATATATATATATATATATATATATATATATATGAAACGTATAATTAATATTATCATTTATACAAATATTCAACAGAACATACTCGACGGATATTTATTATCAATTGCTCGCGTTATTGAGAAACAGAAAATTATAATTGTAAATGTTTTTAAGAACTCATTGCAAATGAGTTGATTGGCATGTGATATTATATGAGGAAACGGCCAGGTCTACAAACATTTAATTCCTTATTTTAACGATTACATAAAAAATTTATGTACAAAGTTGATGAAGAATTTAATTAACCTACTTGAACTGTGTAGCGCAGGAAACTACACATTAGTTAAAATTCTATTGTAGTTAACATCTTCATCTAGGTAATATCGGAGTGATTAAAATGATTATTAAGCGCACTCCCATTAGATTAAAAAGTTCGTATGGATTAATATGCATCAATGGGGATGGGATATGAAATTTTAACCATTTTTCTTACTCAAAGGGATTTCTTTTATAAATACATTGAAGTAATTGAATATGCATTAGTGTCATTTAACTGTCCATCCATATTTTAATATTTATCAAGGGTAAAGTGTGTATGTACATATACAAGAGACGTAGTAGTAGTATATTCATTTTCATCGCTCTCATAATATATGTCATCGCTCGGTCTACTCGATATATTAAAAAGTAAATTAAGCTAATGGTCGAACAAAAATTACGATTATCAATTCCTAAAATAACACAAACTCCTATGAGAAATTTATGACAATGTCGTATTAAATGTCCATTCTATTCAAAATAGATTTCTTTTCCTTTTTCTATAAAAATAAAAAAAAAAAAAATAAATAAAAAAGTTATAATCGGGCAATTCATTGTCATTACAATTTTTTTCCTAAACATTGCTTATGTTTATTGCAGTTTATGCAAGACAACTATCCTTCACTTTAATGCTCAGTTAGTACTTTAATTCAGAATAGAAAAACTCCCAGGGATGTATAGTTTCATTAATAATTATTGAATTGCCGGCATCGAATGCATATCACATTAGTTTAAAAAGAAGACAATTTGTAAAATCATTTCAATTAAGGGATTGAAAATTTTAAGAGCTATTAGCTCCGTTCGTTCACTAAGTGCCCCTTATTTTCCATTATACTCGTAACATTATCAAGAATAATACAAAATAGTCACTTATTTCTTAACCCTCGTGATTCTTGGTCTTTCATTTTATTTCTGCCTACACAGGCGAATCAGCTAATAATAATAACAACAACAACAACAACAACAATAATAATAATAATAACAACAACGATAACAATAATAATAATAATAATAATAATAATAATAATAATAATAATAACAAGGCTACTGGCGAGATTTAAGCAACATATACAATTGTTGGCGCAGCTCTTTATCTTTACAACAATGCCAATATGAAATTCCGGGTATTCTTTCTTTCTCTCTTATAATCAACGATACTCTACTCGACAAAGTAAATGCTCAAGGTCCAATTATACAATCGCATCAATGCATCAGTGCATCGATTCATCAATATAGACCTTCATAAAGACGAAAACTTTTTTTTCAATGCCGAGATTCAAAAACATGCCACTCTTGAACGTCGAGAGTCATTGTGTAATAATAGAAGTGATTTTATCCAGCATATTCGCAACATGTTCGCCAAAAGCCAATTCCAATGGGAATTCAAATCGTATTATTTATGACAAGATTGCCCGTGTGCTAATTTCTCGTTGTACTTTTGATTAGTCAAACTTAATGGAAAGCCCCATGGGGGGGGGGGGGGGGGGGAGAGAACAAAGAAAAAAAAAGAAAAAAGAAAAAGAAAGAAAAACAACAACAGAAATTAAGCAAACTACCAACGCGGCTTCCGAGTGTCGATTAGCTCTTTTCTTTTTCATTTTGTATTCCGAGCAGCCGAGTTAATCCACTAACGCAATGCTAAACCCAATGATTCGAAAGCATGGAAAGAGGCCTTGAAAAGGCTTCGGTACTAAAGGACTCGGACTGGTCATTCAATGGCATGTTAAATCACGTTAAACATGTCCATAAGGGTGAGCCGAGAACCGGCTCATTATTTAATTACGTTAATGTTTGACTTTTTTGAGACGGACTTTTCTTTTTCCTCTTCTTTCTCTCTTTTTGAGCTTCGTTTGTTTATTCAATTTTTTCTTTTCGTCGAACGGTCGTCGTAAGACATTTTGGGAATTAATTTGAAATGTCTCTAAAATTCGTAATGCCTATTTAATAATCGAGTTTATTAATATCTAATAATGACAAATAGTTGGGCAACAAAATGGAAATGAGATGTTGGAATTTTTGTATTAAGAATGATAACAAATTTCAGGTTTTAGCGAGTAAAGAAAGCCTTATAGAATCGGCAGAAGAATCGGAATCCGATGACGCCATCCTTATGTCACAGGTAAGTAAAATGTTATTAATAGAGTATGAGTCTTACCCGGGTAAAAAAAGGTTTTTTTTTGTTTTGTTTGTTTTTTGTTTTCTTCCTCGCACTTTCCTTTCGCCTTGTGTACTACTAGTGTGTACTACTAATCGATATATTCCATTCGTACAAATAATGAGCACATTTTAACAACAACAACCTACCTAATAATTCGAATTATTTTACGAATTCATTTTACGAGTGGACGTGTCTCGGTAATAAATTCGTTGCCTAACAACAAAATACACACGTAACGGAGGCGCTAATACAAACCGTCAACTTAGCCTTACGAGTCTCGCTCGCACATCATACCGACGCTAATGACTAACTCTTGCCCCGTCTCACGACCTCCCAGGAATTTGGAGACACGGACCCGCTGACTCTCGCCCAGGTACACGAACACTTGGTAAGGAGTCCGCCGCCCGCCTCCTGGTCGCGCAGCCCCACCTTTAGCTTCCCTCAGCAGTCTCAAAGTCGCCAGGACTGTGGTGGCCTCTCGCCCAACGCGACGTTACTACATCGTACCCTGGAAGATCAGCCCAAGAACGAGGATTCGATGGAAATCAGAGGTGAGACTCTACGAAATCCCGTAAATTATGAGATGACGAAGCAACGGTCGAGCTAGCAATGCGATTTCGTCATCAACGAGGTTTATATTAACGATTATATCTCCACTCATCGTTTTCTCTTACATCTGCAAATCAATCGTAATTCGTAATTTACAGTTTTATCGTGCGTATAAACGTCCATCTCGTCGACTTAGTGTGGGGCGGGAGTGCACGTTCACTTGGTCTTCGTCACAGGAATATTAGAAAAACTTTAATAGTTTCGTGAGAGTATTTCGTTCGTAGAATAAATTTCAACATTAAATATCTCTACTCGTGGTGAGTGCGTTATGATTTTCATTTAATAACTTATGTTAACGGTAATAATAAGTTTATTTATGCGAACTGTAATATTTAGAGTAACTGCAGCGTTGATTCGGAGATAAGGAGGAAATGTGTAATCGGATATGTCCTATCGATCATCTCCCACACTACAAGTATTGATTTTTCTTAGAGTGAATAATTGACTACTAGAAGCGCGTGTATACTTTTAAAAATGTCGTTTATAATTCAAAATGTTGTATTTTATTATTAAAATTATAAATAGTCGCGTCAGTCGGTCGGTCGGTCGGTCGGTCGGTCGGTCGGTTGGATTTTATCATTTGCTGTTATATTATTAAGCTCTCCATTATTCGAGTTATAATTATTGAATTTTAATAATAAAGAGATTTCCGCAAAAATTCAACTAAACTTCTGGAAAATAATAATTTTTTACACACGCGCGCGCGCGCGGGCGCGCGCACACACACACACACACACACACACTCTTCACTTTCACGATACACTCAAATTTAATATAATTTAGCAATAATTTATCTTAGGCACAAGTACGCGCGATGCAACGTGCAAATGCAATTAACTTCCATACTTTCGATTTACTTATCATAATTCGATTTAATTAATCATATTATATTTATGATAGGCTGTATAAATAGTTTTCTAATATTATATAATAAATGTTTAATGTGTGTTGAACGTATTGGTAAAGGTATATTAGTGATAAATGGTAATTTGGACATACAATTATTCATTTCAATTTCACTGATAATATAAATTCGTGCGTATGCTTACATAATCGATTAATTAAACAACATAATAACGTAATTTTTCCGATATAATGACAATTATAAATTTAACATTATAAAAATGACAAAAATTTTATATAATTATTGCACATAATACGTAAAGTAGTACATTTTTCAATATAACGATGGAAAAATTTTGAACAAAACAAAAGAAAAGGCACGTACGGCTAGTTTTACGTTATTCGTACACGACTTTTTAAATGATGAAATAATCACATCTAAATCATTTAAATTTCTAAACTAAAAGAAAATCCTTACTTTTATCATATACAGCAAACTACATTTCAATCCGTGTATGCGTGTACAATACGATATCGTCCGCTAAAATCTATTAATATTATTTTATTCCACTCGATGCCGCCAACATAATTAAATTACAAATCGTTTCATAATTTATGAATATTATTATATCGAATTTTCAATGATAGGATGCCTCTTAAATATATATTGTGATAAAAAATATCTAGAGACGTAACTCGTATCAGAAGATAAAATGAAATTTATTTTTACAGAAAGTCGATATATATTACAATTAAATTAAACATTAATAATAGAACGCCGATGTAAATAAATTATATTTGTCTAAAGTGCATTATTATGACATTGTATTATTAATAATTAATCGTTTTAACGGCAAATTGATTATACAATTTGTGAAAAATTTGTAATGTTGCGTATCCAAGATACCTCCTTCGCGATAGTACGTTCACCCAAAATAAGTATAAAAAGTTAATTTCAAAGACTCGCGAAAACGTGCCTCGTGCCGAAATAAACTCAGACTCGGCTTTCGTTAGTAAAAAACTTGAGCACCGCTTCGTGCTTGCATGAAAACTTGGTGTTTTTCATTCCCTTTTCCAAATCAATCTCCCAACGACGAGCCTCAAACGCCAGGCATAAAGTACAAAGTCGCGTGGCCATTTTGACAGACGTACACATTAGCAGAAAAAAAAAAAGGTCTCGCGTGCCCAATTACGTAAAGTGAATCGCGCCCTCGACCTTGGAAAATGATGATGACGATGATGATGTAAGCTACGTTGGACGCTGAGGATTTATCGATTCTCTATATTTTTCAAGCTGTATGTATTAATCTCGACTAGTCGTGTACGCTCGAGTTTTACTTTCTCGCCGCTTTTCATTTTCCATTTTCCATTTTCTCGGCTTTGCCTATATCTCGCTGCTCCATTCAAAGAATAAGCTTTCGCGCGATGCCATCAATCCCACGTCATTATAACGCGACAATCTCATTAAGGCAGCGGCTAAACACATAATTAGTCCAATTAAAAATATAAAAATTAAATTGGCTCGTCAAATAAAAATAATTATATATTTATTTTACTTAATGTGTGACAAGAGATTGGACGCATAATACACGATACAATGCAAAATCATGAATTCCTACATTAAATTTGTAATTTCGCAGCTTTAAGTAGCAGACAGCTTAGATAGCACACAGCCTATCACGTATGTGATATATTTCGTGGTTGTGTAAGATTTCGACGTGATTTTGATAACGACTCGAAAAAATATATGCAAATTTCAATATTCACGGTATTTTTAAAGCAAAATTTCGAATTCCTTACACTTTCATGTGTTTTCTTCGTAAAATATCGTTATCGTTACATCTAACCAACGGATAATAACGTAATTTATTATATAATCACATTATCATAAACAGGTTGTACGTCTAAGCAAAGATCGATCTTCAAAATCTCAATTATGACAATGAGCTCTCCTAATATAAAATTGACAATGATCCGTCTTTGTGAATCCATCCACATCGATCATCGATCAAAAGCTTCATAAATATACAACTAAAAGTAACTCAGCACCAAAATCTCTTTTATTATACTACTTTGACAACTGAGAAGGCTCCTGATTTTATCAAATAAATTCACATCGGCGTAAATTTGTTGAATATATTAAATTAATGCGATGCGTGTTAAAAGGCGAAATGTGTTGAAATAATAATATAATTTCAAGCAACAATTATCTCCTAATTCGACTTACGTTATTTAATTACGCTTCGTTAATTACATACATATCAACGAATCATGAGTAATTGATAGCATAAAATAATAAATTTATTATTATCTTTTCGTTTATCAAAATCAAACTAAACTATTATAAACTATCTCGTGATATATAATTTTAATATTTTAATATTCAACGGATATTTCAAATTATTTGTCCTATAGATTATATCCTTAATTATTAATCGAGCATTATAATATGTTTAGTCTATATCTATCGCTATATTTTCTAGTTAAATATACTTTCTCAAATAATATCATTAAATTTTCTTTCAAATATAGCCTAAATATATCTTTACACAATTATTGAAAACATACAAAATTCCTCAACATTTAATTATTAAGATCATTGTTAAATTACATTCGAGCCCACTGTGACGCGTAAAATTGATTTTTTGGTTGTATTTATTTATTTATTTATTTTTATTTTTTTTTTTTTTAATTGGTTTATTGCATTTTTAATTTAATGAAATTTTTAAAATTGAGCGAAACATTCAATGAGAATGATGTAATAAAAAGTAATAAAAATGTTATTTAAACATTCTGTGTATAATATTTGAAAAGTAATTGTATATAAAATAACTATTTATTAAAATTAATTTGTTTTATAAAATTGTATAATCTAGTATCAAAGCAATAAATCAAATAAAAAAAAAAATATATATATATATAAAGTACTTTTATGAATTATCTTGTGCATGTAAATATGAATACAATGAATTATAATTAATCATCTTACTAATTCCCAATTGGATTTTAAATTTATATATTAATATAACTCAACTACTCTCTTATTAAATAGCTTATTTTCGTACGAACTATAAATATTAATTTTATCGTTGGATGATCGATTTGGAAGTTTGAATGAACTCTGACAATGACAAATGATAAATGTATTTAGTATTTGTATTTTTATAAAGTTTTGCGGCATTGATGCTTACTTATTAATGAAAGAGAATTAATAAATTAGAAAGATCACATTCTAACTTTGTTGCACCAACACATCATCTATTAAAGTATTTATTGTATAGAATATGAAACTTAGGAAAAAAAAAAAAAAAAAAAAAAAAAAAAAAAAAAAATACTTTAATTTTATGATATCCGTAATAATTTCATGTTTATTGTTAATAATAAATTGTTTGACGACGAATTATGAAAATTATAAAAAGATCAGAGATTAAATTAATTTCCCATTAAAATTCACTTCTTCCTTTTCTTTTCTTTCTTTTTTACCGTAACCATATTAATGTATATGGATATCGATACAACGCTCGTTACTCAACATCAGCCAGTATCAATAAAGTATGCATAACGATGCGTGTTTACGTGTTTCTTCTATCATTATTCAGTGTTGATAAGAGCAGCTATAAATTATTGCAAACTCTATATCAAAGATAACGATGTTTCTTAATATACTTTATATAGTTCGTAAATAATGTACTACCACATTTCACGTGTTTTTATTTATTTATTTTTTGTTTTTTGTTTTTTGTTTTTTGTTTTTTGTTTTTGTTTGCTGATTAAATTTTTTTTAGATTTTTTTTTAGGTGGACAAAGCTTTCGTACAAGCGTACTCTTCCCTATTGTTAATAATTTGATATTAGATAACTTCAAAATAATTCTCTTCTTGCCACTCTTTTAATGTTCCGATAAAACTATAAACGCGCTCTTTTAAGGATATTAAATGATTAAATGAATCGAAAATGGTTTCAACTTTAACCGAGACCCGTCGTACATTGGAGCTTATACATGTGCATTGTGCATTCAATAATTTTGCATGACTTTAATTTGTTATAACAAAAAATAGCTGGCGACAAATCTTTCAAATCGTGTTGTTAAAAAATCCTTTTAACATTGTACATAAAGCCCTTTCGAGTAAAGAGCTTTAAAAAAAAA